GAGCACAGTTATCACGATGAAAACGGGTATAAAACTGACCAAAGTACCAGAGATACTGGCACTACTACGCTCCTTCAAGTTGGAAGACCAACAAAGGAAATTCTAGGCGCCCGCTTGGGATCTCAATGTGGTTTTGCAGCATCTTACCGGCGAAGATTATGAACCACTAGAAAGAACATCATATAAGAAATTAACTCATAAAAACACTGTTTCTCGTAGCCCTAGCAACAGCGGCAAGGATGTCAGAAATTCATGCTCTAGACTTCGAAAGAACAAGATTTGACACGCATCGTGACACAGTACATCTGGGATTAAGATGGGATTTTATAGCAAAGAATCAACTGCCCGGTCAACCAGACAGACAATTCCATATCCCAGCACTTTCGTCAATATTAGGACTATAGGATACTCAAGATCTATCCTTATGTCCAGTCAGAGCTTTGAAAATATACCTACAAAGGTCGAAATTGAGGAGATGAAAATTCAAGCACCTTTTCATCCCTCTATCTACGGAGACACCTACAGAAGTCTCACGTACGACTATATCAATATGGATGAGAGCCGTCATATTGAAAGCCTTTAAAGCAGCAGGACTTGATCCTCCACGAGCATCCAATCCTCATGAAGTCAGAGCACTGGCATCAACACTATAGTTTGGCATGAAATGCATGTGGACCCGTTTTTTTTTAAATATCTCTTCATCCAATGACCCAATCGATCTCAAACTGTGCAAGTGGATGTTTTGTCAGACTACCTAATCACATTGTAAATCACCGATTTTATGCATTTGTATTCAAGAATCTGTCTATGTATCTGTCAACAAAATAAACAGCAGAACGCAGACTGCTTGCAGAGGGAGGGAGCCAATGACCTGTAACAGCGGCAGTGTTGGGTCATAAAGGTCAACGTTCGTCAATGTAGGTCAGCTATGCACGTGACAGGTATGAAGAGGTGTCACAGGTCGTGAATAGGGTAAGGTGGGTGCCAACTGTTAACCATCATACGGAGTTTGTTTCTCTGAGTTGTTCAACATTAACCACAAAACCCATTAGTGAGAATTATTCTGTAGGTTAAAATCTTAAAATTTGTAATGTTAATGTCATATTTTGTTTATGCAGTACCTAAGTGGAAATGCATTTAAAGAACACAGAAAGTATATTTACACTAAATCATTAATCGGACCACCTATGGTTAGAACTCAACAACTCTTAAAGCCCCGTTCCCTCGGACACAAGCACACACAATCATGCACACTTATTGAAGAAAAGATAGAATGAAGACAAAAGTGTTATGTTTTGATGTCGTTCATATTCCAAATTAAGCAATGCATTTCTAATAGCTTTGAGCATATAGATAGTTAATATTTATATTTTCATGATAATTTTATGTGAAATGAGTGTTTCATGTTACACTATAAGTCGTTGGAATTAGTCAGTGTTGTCATTGTTAAAAGAGGTTATATTGCTTTGAGCATATCTGGCTGGATACTCTTATTATCTGTAAATATAATAACAGAATTAAACTTCATCAAGTTCACTCCATTCTTCCACAGAGGAGTCATCAGTGTCCAGACGAATGACAACTGGATTAACTGTTTGCTCCTTCAAGCCATCTTTGAGCCAGTACTCTTTCTCCACCTTCTTGACATGTTCAACTCATGCATGCCAGCGTGCAATGTCAATGTCACATAGCAGTGTTGACAATGTGCTTGACATCATTCAACTTGAATGATTGATTTTTCTGGGCCACTGTACTTTTAAGGTCTCCCCAGATAAGTTCGATTGGGTTGAGATCACAGTGGTACGGTGGTAATCTCAAGACCTTATGGCCGTGTTGGCGTAGCATGTTGTCAATGTTATATGTGGGTGGAGGTTTGTTAGGTCTAATCAAGGAGTACAACTGTGGTTTAGTGGCCTTAATTGAAAATTGTATATTGTTATTTGTTAGCCATTAGTGCATATCTGACTTCTTTGTATTGGAAGTTGGGCACCTATTGTTTGGATCTCGAACACTGTGATAGGGAGCATTGTCCATGACAACAAGACTTTTGTAAGGCAGAGCTGGCAACAATTGTTCCTCAACATATTGTGTGAAAACTGTGCTCTTTGACCGAAATACCAAATCACACCCAGGTAGGAATCCATAGTGGGAACCAGCACGAAGAACGATTAAACATTCACCTTTGCCTGTTGGTATTTTCTTACCATCACTGGGATCAGTGGGTAGCCACTGTCTGGCAGCAGTATGGTTTGCATTGACCCAGGTCTCATCCAGATATATGGGTTCGAACCCATCCTCTCTTGCCTGCTTAATTTCTCTCAGATAGTTACACCTTATTTTCACAATATCAGATCTCTCACACATTACAAGTTTCTGGTTTGCTATCCAAATTTGAGCAGTAGTTTGCTTAGCATAAACCTAGAAACATTAATGTAGTGATCCTCTGCAAGGATGTGTTTTAACGTTCTTGTGGACAGGTGTTCATTTCTAGCAAATAGCCGGCGAATGACATCTCTGATGGCCCTGATGTCAAAAGAATCTAACTTTGGATGCCTCCCTTTTTGTACAAAGTTTTGTTTATTGGTTGTTGGTTTAGTTTTCACAATTTTTAGCACGATGTTCTTTTTCATGCCAAGAGAAAAAGTTGTACGTTTCATGTAATCCGACACTTTATAAATCGGTTTGCTACGTTTGCTCTCTTTTTAAAAAAAATTCAACACATTTCTAATCAAACGTTTAGCATCATCTGAATAAGCTTTCATGATGACAGCTAGAAGTAGTCAATGTGAATGATCCAAACGGTCTATCACTGTGCAGTGCACAGGTAACTATCATGAACTGCACATGCATTTACCTTTATGACCCAACACTGCCGCTGTTACAGGTCATTGGCTCCCTCCCTCTGCAAGCAGTCTGCGTTCTGCTGTTTATTTTGTTGACAGATACATAGACAGATTCTTGAATACAAATGCATAAAATCGGTGATTTACAATGTGATTAGGTAGTCTGACAAAACATCCACTTGCACAGTTTGAGATCGATTGGGTCATTGGATGAAGAGATATTTAAAAAAAAACGGGTCCACATGCATTTCATGCCAAACTATAGCTCTGCATGGAAACTGCTCCATCTCGACAATAATGGAGGGCTGCCTTTGGAGATCGGAGACGGTGTTTGCCAACCACTACCTCAGAGACATGGCTACAGAGGACGTCTCCGGCATCCACCAGTTTGGGCCCCTTGTTGTAGCACAACAATTGACGGTACTTCAAAGGCGCTGACATAAATCTCACCCTTTTGTCACGTGACTTGTAAAAGCCAACACTCAACAGAGTTAGGGTTTTAAAGTCCATGCGCACGTCTAGCACAGGCTAGCATGAGTGATAGACCCTGTACTTGTAAGGACTTACTTGTACATGAAGTAGGGTCGCTTCTCCACTTGATGCAAGCATCAAGAGATGGAGTTGCATAAATCCATACTGAATGTCAGGAGAAGATATTCCAGGATAAATCTGACAAGTTGTGGTCACCCCACTCATCAGAGGAAGCTGGAAGAAAGGACAAATGCCATTAGAAGTTCCCAAGGGGGGTATAAGGACGTAAATCAGCAGAGAATCCAGAGTGGCTTGACCCACCACCGGTTCCGTCGGATTCTACAAGCAATTAAGCATGAGTCAGGATAAGGAAAAATATGTAATTTTCTGAATATATAATTGATATTTTATACTTATCCTGACTCATGAGGTCAGCCCTCCCAACCTCCCCTCATGGCACTCTGGTTTTCCCTGCAAATCCAAGTGTCGGGCTCGAATATACAGAGAGAGTGACAAGCATGGCTGATCATGTGACCAACTTTTGGTGCCAAAAGAGAAGGTAAAGGGAGACTATTGGGGTGAGTGATTTTACGCCCGCTTTTTTGAAGGGAGCTTCAAAAGGGGGATTCAAGTGTTCCACTATAGTTCGCCAGAAGAAGGAGACAAGCAATTAAGCATGAGTCAGGATAAGTATAAAATATCAATTTCATGCAAAATGCATCGAACAAGCAATGGCGTCAACTAAAATGTTGTGTTATTTTCAGCAATTTCAGATATGGCTACTACTCTGGTAATAACAATGCAAAATTAGTCAAAATACATCCACACAAACAGGAGAATATCGGAATCTAAGAAATAACTTATATATCAGATAGGGCCATCCAAATCACTATTTTGTGCTTTCACATGTTGTATCTGCTCACATTGGGGAACTTTGAATTAGAATAGTGTGGTTCACTGTGAACAAAAAATAACGAAAATATAGTGTCCGTATCTACAACAAATTCTCTCCATGTGATCTGAATTACATTGACCTAGTGTTAAGCATAATGGAGTTATGCCTCCTTATCATTATACGTATATGACCTCTCTGTCGTTGTTTGGGGTCATACAAGAAAATCCATTTTTGACATTTATTGCGAGTCATTTTTAATGTTGAGCGTATAACATTATGGGTAAACACATAAACACAATTCATATACACTTATGTCGTTCAGATATCAGGCTGTATTTTCTTCGCTCACACTTTCCGTAAAGATGCCAAATTTAAAGATTCGTAGCACAGTGCTTTTATAAGTGCACGATAAAAAGCGGAGAAATTTACTGTTTTTTAACGCATAACAACAAATTGAACAAAATTTAGCAAGGTCTATTTCTCAAACCACCGCGGTAGTTGCACTTATATTTATACCAACGGATAGGAAATTTAATATTCTACATTTCTGTGTAATTTTATAGCCGTACATAGATCCAGGACCATGTGAGCGCAATTCTTGCACAACGTTCACTTTTCAAACTGTATGAAAATGTGCGCCTGACAAAAAACTCGTCATCCAGGGGTTTAAATGTATATTTATACCTATTTCTGATAGTTCTTTTATTTCTGATAATCAATACATGTAATTTGAATATATATTGCATGTCACTTGTTCAAACTATGACCTAATGATTTTTGCATTTGTTTAGATGAATGGAACAGCTTCTCCAATGTTGGGTGGAGTGAGTGCTATTCATGTTGCCACTGTATTAGAGGACTGTGTGGATCAGCTTGCTGTCCTTGGACGTATTATGCCAGCATCTTATGAACTCAGACCTGATGTTAATGAAGTGAGTACAAATAAAGGTGAAGGATTATGATAATAGTAGGGTATTGTGTAAATTATTCAGCACAAGAATTTCTACTGCCATTAAGATGATCGTTTGTGAAAACCATCCTCGAAACAGTGTCATGAATGTACAGACATGAGCATTTATCAAGCACAACACACCATTTTTTATATGATCAGTTTGAAAACACGACATGTTGTCGTAGATGGTTTTTAAACCAAATTCTAGATTTAGAATGGTAACTGTAACATATTTCACTCCTTTTTAAACAGAACCAAAACTGAAATTGAAATTTGGTGACAATTTACTTGCAGTTTGAGAGGAATACACAAATCATGAATATCAGCAATGCTGGAAGGTATTGTCACCATAACTATGCCAGCAATCTGATTGTCACACAGTTCACAAATAACGATTGTTGTGATTTTATGACCCACCACACACTGGTGACCACATTGGTGCCTGGTCTCCACCTCATACTTGCAATCAAGTGTTGAATTCTCAGCATTGGAATGTTCTGCCATTCCTCATGGTGTGCCAGGTCAATTCCTGCAGATTTTGAACAGTATAATCTCAGGCTCCAACTTGACCAATATAGTAATGACTGTCAGCAATTTACCAGCTCATGGCTAGACAAATGCACGTCCCTGACTTCCGGGGTCCCCATTGTTACCTCCTCTCTTGCTTGTGGAAGTTGCTCCAACAGGGACAGGATGGTTTGCCAGTGGAGTAGCTCACTATTCTCACCAATGTTGACTACTGCCAAAGGATGTAGAGTATTTATATGCATGGTTTTTACTTCCTCTAGCATCTCATCATGCGACTTTACACAACGTACACACACTGTTCTTTTTCCGCTTGGTGGATCCCCTCCGGGCGACTGGACTGGTTCGGACAGTTTTGTCCTCGTAATTGAGCCCAGATTCGTCATAGTCGGGAATAAAGTGTTTCTCTTCTATGACAGCTAAAAGATACAAATATAAATCACTTCCACCACTTAAACCTAATTTACATACATATTAATTATAAGCCATATTAACTCACGTGATCAAAATTATGCCCATGACATACACACTTACCACCAGAATTATATACAATTTGAAAAGATACTCATCTCTGGATTATTAGATAGTCCTTCATCCAGAACGGTCTTTTACGAACTCTCTTCTCATGCCCAACGGTTGCTGAACCCTCCCCATTTTTCGTAATAGTCCCGTCAACAGATACATCACTCTACTCTGTCTCGGTATCCGGCTGACCATTTGCTTCCCCTACCTGGTTAGTTGTTACTCTTTGATCCAATGCATGACGTAACCTTTTAAGCCACACAGGAACTGTGCGATCATGACACATCTTCATCCAGTCATGATGCAGGACAAATGTCTTCTTCCGACCCCCGAGTCGGTAAAGTGCAGGAGAAAGGCAGTCAGTGACCAAATAAGGACCTTTCCATGGAGACTTTAGTTTCTCAATGATTCCAACTTTAGTAGATGAATCCAGCACGTAGGCAAGATCTCCTGTCTTGAAAGATCGTTGATTTAGTTTGATGTCATAAGCTCTCTTCTGACGATGTTGGACACTTCCTATTTTCTTTTTTGCTAGTTGGTGCACTTCCCTGAGAGTTTTGTCCAGATGGCAGATATAAGAGTTCTGATCCTGGTCCTGTTTGTTCACCTCCATCAAGCCAAACATGATGTCAAAAGGAAGCAAAATTTCCCTTCCAAGCATAAGCTTATTTGGGGTGAATCCAAGTTTGTCGACTCTTGGTTGCTCGCACAGCTTCTGCCTCCCAGTTGTGCTGCTTACCATCAGTGAAGCATCTAATTTTCTGTAGAATGATTCTATTATAGCGTTCGACTTGTCCGTTTGAGCTTGGGTGGTAGGGAGTCGTTCTGTTTTTTGTTATTTCCAACAGTGCACATACAGCTGCAAACAGGTTACCATCAAAATTTCTTCCTTGCTCCGTGTGTATCAGTAGATGGGCAACCAAAGTGGGATATAAAACCATCCACAGCAGTCCTTGCAATGGTTTCAGCACTCTGAACAAGGAGAGGGATACGATCTAACCACTTAGTAAATATATCAATGATCATCAGAATATACTTGTTTCCTGCTGTTGTTTCTGGCAACGGACCAATTATATCAATGTGAACATGCTCCATCAGTGTGCCCACATGATACTGACCCAGAGATGCTTTATCCTTTACATTAACCCCCTTATTTTGATTACAGGTAGGACAAGACACGACATACTGATCACACTCTGAAGACATACCTGGCCAGTAAAATCTTTGTTTTAAACCTAGCACTGTTTTTTCAACCTCAGGTGTCCTGCCTATTTTTTATCATGACATTGCTATAGAACATCCAAAACTAATGCCCTCGAAAACCACCAGCAACCACTGAGTTGAAGTAAGTTTTTCTCACTTATCCCAGAGAACCCCACTAGCTAGCAATAACCACGGGTAGGGAACCTTGTTACAGTGAGAGTGGAGTCTTTGTGATTTTTGTGATGGAAACTTTGCGATATGTGACAGAGTCTTTGGACTGAGATGAGTTTTGACGAGACAAAATTGTAATTATAGCTTTACTTTCTGGTATTTTAGGTTATAATTTTCCATATTACCACATAATGTTATCTAACACAATTGTAATTCATTGGGGCAAGTCAAGATTTTGCATAGATAATGACAATGAAGGAATTTTCCGTTACACCAATTTCGTAATCACGAAGTTTCTGTGATATTAAACAGTGTAACCTGAAGAAGTTGTGCATGAAATGTAACAAACTTCACCTCACCATACTACATGATGCAAACGATCACATCAAAGAGAGTTTCCAGCATACCAAAGTCAAGCAACTTTTTGTGGATCAGCCAACCAATCCAGCAAGCATCATACTGAAAATAGTACCAGTCATTCTGCATGGTCCTACCTGCAGTTTTCAGACTTATGCTATTCTCGATGATGAGTCCATGAGAACAATGATTATTTTGTCTACAGCAAATCAGCTTGAGTTATTGAGGACACCAGCCAGCATTCTTCTGTCTACAATCTGGCGTGGAAATTTTGACTGCCATGTTCATTCTGTGAGTTTTGACATTTCCCTACTTGATCAGCCAAATGAGAGATTCACAATCCGAGATGCGTTTACTTCTGACCATATTGCCCTGTCTGAATACTCCTATGATGTTGATTCCCTTCAAATAGAGTACCCTCATCTCCAAGGTTCAGCCCTTCCCGACATACACAATGTATGTCCAACCATTCTAATTGGCTCTGATAATGCCAACCTCATTCTTCCAGTTGAGCTGGTCAAGTTTGGCCCTCCAGGCACACCGGTCGCAGTGCGTACCAAGTTTGGATTGGCAGTACAGGGACCCACTCAGTTGCCAGTCAGTAACGCCCATACTACTTGTTTTCTCACAAGCCTGCCCAGGGACAGTGAGAAATTGATGCATCATGTTGAGAACCTGTGGAAAATGGACACATAACCCTATTCAAGCAAGCAGGTCATTAGGTCAAAGGGGAACAAACAGGCCTCGTCTATCCTGGATAGTGAAACTGTCAGACGGAACAACGCTGCTACCCTTCATGAAGGCAAAGACGTTGTGATATCAAGCCTGAAACGAACAGAAAAAACACCATTTGAGCAAACCAGAATTGTCCACAATTCACAACAATGAGATCCAGAAACTTGTCAATATCAACTATGTCAGAGCGATCAGCAAGGATGAAGCAAATAAATTTAAGGAATCATGGTTCATTCCACATCACATTGTGGAACATAATGGGAAATATCGTCTCGTTTTCAATTGTTCTTATGAGTACAAGGGAGAAAATCTTAACAAGCAAATGATACCAGGCCCCACACTTGGATCTTCTCTACTGGGTGTGTTGTTGAGATTCCGAAGAAACAAGGTTGCTATCTCAGGTGACATAAAAGCTATGTTTCACCAAGTTCCACTCCTGCCTAAAGTCCAGCCATTACTGAGATTCATTTGGCGACACATGAATACTGACATTGAACCTACCATATACCAGTGGCAAGTTTTGCCATTCGGTACCACTTGCAGTCCGTGTTGTGCAACATACGCACTGCTGAAGCACGCCATCACTGCACAAGAACAATTCCCAGAAGTCACCAGGTGTGTGAAGGAAGCCTTTTATGTCGACAACTGTCTTGACAGTTTAACAGATCCAGTGAAAGCAAAAGAACCCAAGTGTTAGCTGACCTGCCTGGCGAGGCGAAATCAACCTCTTTCGAACTCTGGTCGACCCTGAATCAGGATGATGCAGATGAAGCTGCTCTTGGCCTCAGTTGGAAGTGTGACTGATTCACTGTCCTACAAATATCAATCTGTCTCCTATGACACACTGAACATGAAGGCTGTATATCAAGTACTTGCCACCTAATATGATCCCATTGGATACCTGACACCATTCACTGCCCGTGCCAAGGTATTGATCCAAGACATGTGGAAATCCAAGAGAACCTGCGTAGATGAGATCAGCAATGGAGAACTTCGAGAAAAATTCACACAATGGGAATCGGAGCTTAGCAGAATCTCTGAAGTTCACATGCCACGCTGCTATGTACCTCCTGCTTTTGATACCACTGAAACCCACCAACAGCTACATGTCTTCTGCAATGCGTCAGAACGAGTTTATGGCTAGGTAGCTTACCTCAAAACTGTGAACAAAAATGATGATGCCTGCCTGAGCTTTGTAGCTGCACGGAGCCGTGTTGCTCCTATGAAGCAGATCTCAATGCCAAGACTGGAGCTGTGTGCAGTTCTGACCGGAGCCCAACTTGCTGATACCTTAAGCAAGAACCTGAGCCTACCTATCAGTGATATCTACCTCTGGAATGATTCTACAACAGTTCTCAAATGGTTACAGTCTGACTCCTGCCACTATAAGGTGTACGTTGGTACTCGTGTCACCGAGATCCAGTCATTGACTCCAGTTGACAATTGGTCCTATCACAAGAGGAAAAT